GGAATGGTATTTTTAAACAAAAAGGAATTTGTGGCTCATTATTGATCACATCTTTAGAATTTATGTTACTAAAAGAAAAATGATAAAATGGCATGTTCCTCTTGGGACCTTTTACCAGCCCAACTTCCACAAATTATTTGGGACTCTTAAAAAGACTCTTGAAGGATGTAATTCTTCTTAGAAGGATGTAATGATTTTATTATTAAATTTGCATTCAGTGAAGGGGTTTTCCTGCATCTTATATGCTGTTTATACTATAATAACCAAGGGCCAAGTGTAATTAAAGAGAAAATACTTCCATCACATTAACTTTGAATTTGATTATTAAAAGGTTGTGCTTTTCATAAACAACTTTTACCTTGCCTCTGTCTTTAAAACATCTTTCTACTTATGTGGTAGGAATCAAGGCTTTGAGTTTAAGCACAGATGCACTGCTTGATCCTAGATGTATTAAGAAAAAATTCTGGGCCTTTGTTTTTCTATTGTCAAAGTGGTACAACCAAATCAACAATACTCAGAGTTTCTATAGTTCTAACAATATATTTTGCAACTCCTTTGTGAAAGAAATATCCAACTTACATTTCACTCAGATTTCATAAGTATGCACACACACACACACACACACACACACACACAGACATAGATAGATGAGAGAGAGAGAGAGAGAGAGAGAGAGAGAGAGAGAGAGCTAGATTTTGAGGGAATAAAGAATTGTATAAAACTACTAAATTGGAAAAAGCAATGTGTTAACTAAGTAAAATTAGTTTTAGAAGGCAATACTTATTACTACTAGAACACTTTTTTTGATGCAAACTGCATGAGGCTTTATTATAGTTGTTTAATGAGCTAACCCCATGTTAGCTCGGGCCTTCCATCCATCCATCATGGCGGATGGCTAGGAAAGACAGCTCTAAGCGTCTGCATAGAGATCAAGAAGAGTTATTCTTTTCATATTAACTCATGCTAATTATTGTAATTATTTAAGGCAACTCTTCAGGATTTTCCATTTGTTTTCTGGAGTAAAAAGCTTAGTTGAATTCTGAACAATGAATTTTAACTGAGAGAAGAATTTAAATACCAATAGAACTCTAACCTGTAATTGCTTGTACTGATTAATTTCAATTTTGTCATTCCACTTACCTCTTTCTAAACTAGAAGACACAGATGTAATTTTAAGAGAAATAGTGCAGAGACCATCTTGTATATTCTTTTGAAGTATTAACATATCTGGGAGATTGGATTTTGTGTGAATTGTCCTGCTGAGCAAACTGATTGGCTAATGATAAGCATCATGTAGTAACCAGAAGTCCTTAGAGGATCCACAAACATCTGAGCTTGACTGGGGAGAGTAACTCTTATAGTGTTAGAGAGTCCCTTGGCCACTGGAGGGAACATGGTCTCTTCCCGAGTTAAGTGACATTGACATTGCCACAATTACTTGGATTATTAGATAATATTACAAGCTAACCCAATCTAAGTGTGACTGCCAAAAAGCAAAATTAATAAAATACCAATCAGAAATTAAAATCTAGACATATTAATCAGACATTGAATGGTAATATTTTAGATTTGATAAGAAGAAAATAGCTTAAGACATTGATGTCTGTTGTACCCAAATCACAAAGATCCCCAGAGACCACCAGGAAGGCAGACCCACCAAACTATAAAAGCAAGGTTTTAATTGTTCATCTAACCATGGCAGGGACCCTGTCCGGCTACCTGACACAGCAGCCTCCAAGGGAGCAAAGTTCTCTGTCTACTGCTAGGTTTTAATGACAAAAGTTACAGGATTACATCAGTAGGTTGGTTTCTGATTGGTTGACATTTGGGAACAATTAGGAGTATTTCTCAAAGTCATATGTTGGTATGAAATACCTGTGTATCAGTTATTTTCATTGGTCAGTGCTGAGAGGGAACATTCTGTGGTTTCTATGGCTTTGTCTTGTTACTTGCAGGTGGCCTGTTGTACAAAGTTACCAATAGTTTTCAGAATTATATCCTGAAGACTATAGGGGAAGTTTTTATTTCCCCTGGAGTTTCTTTTGTGGCCTAACAGTTCCCAGGAACGAAGTATCTAGGAGGATAGGGGTGGGTCTGGAGTTTTTTGTGTTCAGTTTTGGCTCTAGGCTCTAGGAGGCCAGGGGATCTGGTGTTTCCTTGTGTAAGAGGCCTACATGTCTTTTCTGTAGCCTGTCATGGCTGCTAAAGCAGGGATTGAGTGAGAGTATGGTACATTCATTTCTAGAAAGTTTAGTTTACCCCTTTCAATGTCCAGTATGTGGGGGACATATAAAAATTCCTTTACTAATATTAAAAGTCTCAGGGGTTATCAGTTTCTTTTATTTTGCAGCTTTAAGTATCAAAAAGACATTAAAGTGAGTTGAAATAAACAAGTAAGGATTCTATTTTTATCTAACTTAAGAAAATAAGTCTTCAGAAAATTTTAAATTCTACATGTCTTTTTGCAAATCATGAAAATTTTTGATGAAGACTACCTAGGCAACAAAATTGTGAACATAAAAGATGGATGTACAAAAGTATTATATGATTTAAAGTACTACAGTCAATGTCCAAAATGATAATATACATTGTTCGTTGCAAAGCCAGCTAGAAAGAGCACATACAAGTTTTAATAGTCTTGCTTTTTCTACTTTTCTGTCTTAAAGTACACAACATTATTTTCTCTTATTTACATATTTATTGCTTTATATAAAACAGTATTTTATTCATTGCATCTACATAGATTCCACAAGATGTATCTCTTAATATTTAGTGTTGTCTCACCTGCAAAACATGCTGATAAAATTACATTCGACATATATATGGAAAATTTTATATCCAAAATAACATGTAATTTTGTATAGTAATTACTGATAATTACATTTAGCAATGTTGACTTTAAAATCACATATGTAGGAAGTTTAATGGGTGACCAACTGAATTTATTGTAACTCCATCACAAGTGAAATTGTATACAGAGGTAATCTCCTTAATTTTCTAAAATCAATATAAGAATGGCTTATATTTCATAGAGGTAATAGTCATTGCATTCAACTCATACCTGCTAATATCACATACAGTTACAGAGCTCCCTCAATATCTTTATTCATATGACCAAAATTTGACATGAATTTGCCACACATTAGTGAATTATGTTCACAGTATAGTTTTTTGTTTCTTTTTTTTTTTGTTCAGGTCATAACACACATTTTACCACAGACAGTTTCACAACTACAAAAGAATTAATGTTTTGATTAAATACATTCAGAAAGAGATGAGGCAGCAGAAAGCTTCTCTTTAGTCCTTATCACTGAAGTAAGTAATTTTGAAAAGTTGTTCAAATTTATCAATGCTGGGATGACACACAGCAGGCCTTAGTTGTCTCTCTTTCTATTTCCACAAATATGCAATACTTAATAATTACCCTTAATAGAGAAATCCCTAAGGAATTGCTAAGATAATTATTTCCAAGGTTCTTTTTCGGACAGAACACAAATAGGCAAATTTCACCCATGGGGCAATTTCTAGAAGTGAAATTAGGTCCAGCTGAAGGGAAGATTATCTCTACAAAACAAGAATAATTTCATAAGCATACATCAGATTGGAAGAAAACAGGAGCCAAAAGAAAATGTGAATTTTATAAGTCATCAGTCTGATAATCTTTTGTAAGTTAATACTTTACTCATATCTAGTGTTCTCTTTTTACCAATACCCACTTTGTTTATATGAGTAGTTACTTTTACTTCTGTCTTCTGTCGAGTCCAATTAATGTTTTCTCTAAATCTATATTCCATGTATGCTCAGGTCCACATCAGAAAATCATCATTCTTTAGCTTATAATCCATAAGAGTAGTATCCTGCTAACATTGAACAAATAATTCCATTTAGTTTAATAAGATCAAATACTTTTAATCCAAAAAGTTCATAATAGATAACATTCAGAATAGAGATGGGAATAAAAATGAAGCAAGTTAAGTAAATATTGTGGAAATAAGATGAAAATATTCTGCAATCTATTGTCTGATAGAAGAAAAATTAGCCTTTTCCAGGGATGAGCCTCCTAATTCCTTGTTAGATGTGCAGTGGTCAGTCTTTAAACCTTAGGTTTAAGATACTAGCCATTTGAGGGGTACCATGTGAATAGTATGTGAGGATGGTATTTGATAGTGATTTGAGGAAGAAAAGGGAAAGGACAAAATGATGGAATTTTTCTTCAAGTAAAACATTTAAATAGTAAAATATACATAAAAACAAAAAACAAAACTAATAAACAACAAAACAAATAATACAACATAGAAATAATCAGTCTGCTAGAAATGCAAACTATTAGAAACTACTACTCTTCAGTCAAGATTATATATTACATGGTATCGCTTATATTGCATAATTGTACCTACATTTATAAATACAGAAAAGCAAATACAGAGACTAGTACAAAATTTAGCACTTTTATACAAGGGCAATCAAAACACACACAAAACATTAAAAATTAGATGAAAATCATTAATTTGCTTTTATTCTCATAATAAGTTTATTCAGTTTGTTTCTTCACATTAATTTTTTATATTAATTATTTATAAGCCAACATTAGATTTTCTAGGAGAATTGCTACTAGATGTAAGAAATACAGAGATGCTTTAACAGATTAGTTTATTTCATTACATCTTTGAAAATACTGATAGATCCTGAGGAAGAGATGAGAAGGGTTAAGTGGTTCTTATGACCCAGAAAGGCAATTTGCATGTTGAATGTGTCCTTTCCATTATATATTTCCTGATAGAGCATGTGGAAACAGTCACATATGATGCTTCTCTTCATGGCAAGTTGCTCCTGACTCATTGGCTCAATTTGGGCAGCAGTATCACTCATATTTGGGTTACGTTTCTCCTTACATTTATTTATTTGCATTCAGATGAGTTTCAAAGTGAATGTCAAATTTATACAGGGAGAAGATTTCCTCATATGACTTGTTGATAAGCTTTCTTTCCTTGTAGGTTACTTCTGGAGACACACTGAGCAAAATGGATGGAGGCAATCAGTCTGCAGTGTCAGAATTTATACTTTATGGACTTGCACACTCACAGACTATTCAGGTCTTTCTCTTTGTGATGTTTTCAATACTTTATCTTCTCATTGTGTCTGGAAACATTGTCATCATTGTCTTAATTACTACTGACCGGCATCTACAATCTCCCATGTATTTCTTGCTGGCCAACCTGTCTTTTATTGATATGTGGCTTTCTTCAGTCACCACTCCTAAGATGATAACAGACTTTCCAAGGGAAAACAAGACCATTTCCTTTGTAGGCTGCATATCCCAGGTCTTCTTTGCTCATTGCATTGCTGCAAGTGAGATGGTGTTGTTGGTTGTAATGGCTTATGATCGCTATGTGGCCATCTGCAAACCACTCCACTACTTCACCATTATGAACCTGAAAAGATGCACTGCGTTGGTGTCCATTTCTTGGACTACTGGCTTTGTGCATGCAATGAGTCACCTGGTAGTGATTGTGGAGCTGCCTTTTTGTGGTCCCAAGGAAATAGACAGCTTTTTTTGTGACATGCCATTGGTGATTAAGCTAGCTTGCATGGATTCTCATGATTTGGACATTCTAATGAATGCTGACTGTGGAGTTGTGGCTGTAACTTGCTTCATTCTGTTGCTCATTTCCTATACATACATCCTAATCAGTGTCCACCAGAGTTCCAAATCTGGTGCATCTAAGGCTCTGTCCACTTGTAGTGCCCACATCACAGTGGTGATGATATTTTTTGTGCCCTGCATCTTCATTTATGTGTGGCCACTTAATATTATCTGGCTGGATAAATTTCTTGCTGTATTTTACTCTGTTTTTACACCTCTCCTAAATCCAGCCATTTATACACTGAGAAACAAGGAGATGAAAAACGCTATGAAAAGATTCATAAGCAAATACCTTGGTTCCAAATGAAATCCCTAATATCTAGAAAAATAAACTAGTTACTTCAAATAATGAGACTAACTATATGAAATACATTTAAAATAAGGAAATAAAATTTGTACGAATTTCCATATATAGAAATAATTTAACATTTTAAATAGAATGTGACATTTTACTGACCCACCATGAAAATACTGAATCCTTCATCTTAAATCTATACACAAATGCTCTTGGTATATAGGAAGGGCATTAAACTGTTCTTTTATGTCCTTAATAAAGTTTAGCTTGACATTTGTTGAACAAACTCATATGTTTATCTTTGTGGGTACCATCTTATTTGTAAGTACATGTACAGTTCTGTTGGTCAGCAAAGCTGCAGACATCTCTTAAACATTCCAAAATTGTTTTTAAGTGAAGGGACTCAAACTGGCCCCAGCATGCCAAACATGGCTCTGGTAGGGCTTGTGCTTCTCTCTAGTTCCTGCTGCTTTTCTTAAAACCACTAGATTACATTCCTAAGCTCACCACATTGGTCTATGACCTTATTTGATCACTTCCTCTTATTGAGACTAATGACCAAGACCCATCTATCAAAGTATTGAAGTTCAGCAATTAGAAGCTCCCTTTGGCTGCCCTAATTAACATACTCAATTAAAATTAAACATGTCATTCTAGCAGGAGGTTTCTCCTTTTTCCTTTATAAACTGCCATTATCCTATAGGCCATGTTTGTCTCCTTTCTATCCAGAAGCCTTCCCTTGTCCCTCAAGACAAATATCTCTTCCTCATCTCCCTTGTTCATTTCCTCCTTCTCCCACATCCTCTATCTCCTGTTTTTTGTCTGCTTTTCTATGCCTTTTTTCATTTTAGAAAAAATAAATAAATTTCCTTTGAGATGGGAACTTGGTCTCTGGGTTTCTTCTCATGATACTATCCCTTCAAGAAGGCTCAGTAGACAGTGAGAAGTTTGAATTGGAAGACTTTTCTTCATGTCCTTGTTCTAGCAATCTCTGGGTTGTGGCCTGTTTGCCTGATGTCAAGTTTTGTCTTTTAGGAACTTCTCTGTGTCTGGATTTTCAGTCTTAGATTCAATTAAGTATTTCTCCATGAGAGAAAATTGTACATGCTAGTCTCATCTCAATGAACATTTCTTTTCTGTGTAATCTTGGTTATTGAATTCCCCTTTCCCCCTCTTATCCTCCCTGTTATGTTCAACTCCCCCCACTATACTCTCTATCATTTATCTTCTGCTATCTCTTGCTATCTATATTTAGCATAAATGCATACTTGCTTGTTACTCAAATTTTATTGGTTGTCTCGAAATCATCAATGAAAATTGGTTTGATCAAATCAAGCTATTGACAAAACTCATTGTTGAATTATTGAATGTCTTTTCAGGCTTTCAATATATACCAAGTCTTCACATCTGCTTTTTCATTCCTGTAATTTGATGAATATTCCAAACAATTTGTCCAATTAAGTAGTTCATGTTTGATTATATTTTATTCAATCTATGTAGTGGTTTATTGCACATTTCTTTCTTGCATATTTTTCCTATAGAATGTCATTAGGGAGATAATGTTTATTAATCAATTAATATTTAATTTATCATTCATTTTCTCCACATTATATGAATCATGGGTCTTGGTTTTCAACTTTTAGGTTTAACTATTTCTTGTAAATTTTATGGCAAAACTCCTATCTACTAATGTTTGCTTACTAGGTTCATTCCCAGAGAAAAATATCCCATTTTTATTTAATGATTTTTTGATAATTTTTATGTACTTATGCTTAAACTTTTACACTCATTGTTATTATTGGAGCATATCACTGATCCTCATATGTCCATTTCTTTTACTGGCAGATTATTCATTTTTTCTGTGTTTTTTTTTGCTTTATAATAACAGAAATTATTTAGGTCCTTTAAGTGTGACATGAAAAGTTGTTTGTGGCTATGGATGATTTTTCCTTTTCTACAGCTTCTCTCTCTCTCTCTCTGGTTCTACTATTAAAAATTAATGTCAAGTACTTTATAGTAAAGAGATGATTTTTAAATTCAGTTTTATCTTGCATATATTTTAGCGAAGAAAAGTTTGAAAATATTTATTGTAAGTATGGTTTTCATCTTAAGTATAAACTGTATGTCTAAAACTTGTTAATTTTCTATTAGGTTGCCGAGTTCATGAAAGCTACTTACATGTAATAACCATTGTTATTTAAATATTGAAATTATTAATATTGTAGTATTATTCACATTTTTACTTTTTTCTTTTTAAATACTTTAATATAACTCAAATTAATTATATATATTCTTTACTAAATTTATGAATTATGAAGATATTAACACATGCTTTAAATTGTTCAGTTTTTAAACAGATTCTCATCTCATCATTTATAAATTATCATGTGATGATGAATTGATCCAATATGTCCTTTTCTATATCACACAGTGATTTCTGCACTTTATTAATAGCTCCTTTATTTTACCATTGATTGGAAATGCTGTCATATAATAAACAAATCTTGTCCTATGTTTTAATATCCTTGTGGATATTTCATACTATTTTTTCACTTGGATAGGCACAATTTTAACCCTTTTAGTATCTGAATTTCCAATTCTGTTAACTCATTCAGATCATAATTGGTTCAGCTAAGTTACTTGTTACTCAGAGTATGTGATGTTCAACGTTAGCCTGCTCCATGACCATCATGGGGAAGATTAAAAGTTGGCAGAGTCACTGCTACTTTTAAAAATGCATAGTCTCCTTAATTTCTGTTCTGAATTTTAGAATTGCTAAATATGATATCAGAGCATGTACACATTAGAACAAACACACAGATATACACATTAACACATAAATGAACACATTCCAATTGTATCTAATAATGCCCCACATGAATATCTACAAAGATTGAAATATATCATATCCCTGAAGCCAGTTCTGAAATAATAAAGGGTGAAGACTCTTGACTACATAAACATAGACGATTAGCATTCCTATTATAACATTATCTAACATTCTCTGAATGGTGAATACATCACACATTTGTATTGTCTTATGTGTCTCTGCTATTTCATTACTTCTCATAATAACCATATGCAAGACATATCATGACCTCCCTTTTATTAATGTGGGAACCTAATCTTACAAAGTTAATTAAATATACATAATTATGTTTAGTAAGGTTAAGTTGAATTGAATTCAGCATCTTTTAACTTTCAAGTTCTGCTAATGGGAAATGGAAGATGTATGTATGTAAGTGATATATTTAGTATCAACATGGTAAGAGGCTTGGACACTCTTAATTCTATTTACTGTCTTGCAACCAATTGTTGCATGCCACAGGGTTTCAAGCACCTTAAAGGCAAATAATGTTGGCAAATTCAGTATTTTATCTCACCTGATAATAAACTAATAAATAATCTCACTATAGTACTAGAAACTAAATCATAGATGGTTAGCAGGTGGGAATATCATTTATGAATCTCTGTAGTTGGCATATAATCTCTTCTGACTGTACACATTGTTTTAATAATGTGAATCATAATTCTTTAATTGTGCTTTTATGGAAATGAGCCAAATAACATTTCCTTGAATGTAAAATATTCCAGTTTATATCTTTTGTTGTCTCAAACTCAAAAATACCCAGAGAGTCTTAATTGTACAGAAATAATAGCATACAATATCTTTAATTGTTCTGAAAATTAATGAGATGGCATTTGCAGTTAGTGTTATTAATTTGGAAACAATATAAAATATAAGGTATTATCACATAGAATAAATGGAGGCAAGAGTAAAGCCTTCTTAATCAATTGCTGGGTTAAAAATGGAATATTAAAATTACCATAAGGTTTTCTGAATAGTTTAATAGATTTATTCTTTCATTATCTCAGTCTCATGACTATAGAATATCTAAGGCTTTATTCAAAAGTTTCAATTCCATTGTCTCAGACGTCTCATTGCAGTTTTCATCTCTGTGTTCCTCAATGTGTATATAATGGGGTTCAAGAGAGGAGTGACCACAGAATAAAACACAGCAAGGAATTTATCTAATGACTTGGTGGTAAAGGGCCAGGCATAAATGAAGATACAGGGTCCAAAAAACAAAAGAACTACTGTGATGTGAGCAGTCAGTGTGGACAGAGCCTTATATGATCTATCAGAAGGACGGCGCTGGATGGTCATTAGAATGACAGTGTAGGAAATAATTAGGAGAACAAAAGAACACAAAGTGAGTATGCCACTGTTGGCAATGACCATGATGTCTAACCTATATGTGTCTGCACAGGCAAGTTTGATTACTCTAGGAAGGTCACAATAAAAGCTGTCAACTTTATTGGGACCACAAAAGGGTAAGTTCACTGCAAAGGCCAATTGGCTCACTGAGTGTAGGAAGCCGACTCCCCATGCAGCAACCACAATGCCAATACATACATTGCCACGCATAATTGTAGAGTAGCGTAGAGGCTTACAAATTGCTATGTATCTGTCAAAGCCCATGGCTATGAGGGTCACCATCTCACTTCCCCCAAAGAAGTGAAGGAGAAATATCTGTGTAAAGCAGCCCTTAACAGAAATGACTTTGCGTTTGCTGAAAAAGTCAGTAATCATCTTGGGAGCTGTGACAGAGGACAGAGACAGATCTATGAAGGAGAGGTTGGCCAACAGGAAGTACATAGGAGAGTGGAGGTGGGAATCAGCAGTCACGGTTATGACAATAAGAAGGTTGCCAAACACAATTCCTACATAGAAAACAAAAAAGAGTACAAACAGAAAGATCTGAAGTTCTGGAGAATCAGAGAGTCCTATTAAAACAAATTCAGTTACCACAGAGTGGTTTGTTTCTCTTGATGATTCCTTCCCGATGAGAGTCTCTGTATTTGCCTTGGAGAAGACAATGAAAAAAAAATTCAGAGTTGTTATATATAAATTCTACCTTCAGCTCACCCATTAAGGACTTGTTATGGTCTATTTCACAAGGCCAACAAACTAAAAATCATAACTCAAATTTTTACTGCAGTAATCCTTGCTTGCTTGGTTCTTTTGATAGGCAAGGCTCCAGCATCTCCATGGTTCTGAATTCCATCCTCATGCA